ACTGATCAAGAGAAAATTCACTTAATTATAAACATTTACATTCAGTGAACTGTGGAAACTAACTATGTGTTGCTCATTAGTTCTCATACAAATCCCAACAACCTGCAGTGTTGTACACTACGTAATGATCCTGCCATTAACGGGCCATCCTTAAAAGAGCCGTTTTTGTAAATATGTAAAAGTTATTTTATTGTTTTAGCTTTGCATCCATAGAATTAGCTTTTAATAAATCCCCAAATTGTATTTTTTTTAAACATGTTGTAGACTGAAAAAAACCCAACAACCTTGAAATAGTACATTTCCATGTAGACAGCCAAAATGAAACTTTTTGAAAACTAATTCAATTGCTTTTTTCACCAATCCAATTTAAAGATGTGGGGGCATCCTTTCATCCCTGTTTTGTTGTTGTTGTTTTTGTTGTTTGTTACATTGGACACCCAATGAGCAAGCTTTTTGCACATGTTCCAGGCCTTGTTTCCTACTTTGGAGTATATTTAACCACCTGGAGCAGAAAAACTCTTACGTCCGTATGCTCTTTGTGGACTTCACATCCGCCTTCAACACCATGATCCCCCAAACCCTGATGGACAAACTATCCACACTAGGACTAAGCCCCTCCATCTGCAACTGGGTACTAGACTTTTTAACAAACAGACCACAGTTAGTGAGGATCCACAACCTCTCCTCCTCCACCATAACCCTCAGCACTGGCTCTCCTCAGGGATGTGTGTTGAGCCCCCTCCTGTTTACTCTGCTCACGTATGATTGTGCAGCTACCCATCCAGACTGTCACATTGTAAAGTTTGCAGATGATACAGCGGTGGTGGGATGCATCACAAACAACGATGAGTCCAGCTACAGGCAAGAGGTGGAACACCTGGAGAGCTGGTGCAAAGAGAATAACCTTCACATCAATGTGAAGAAGACAAAGGAGATGATTGTGGACTTCAGAAGGAACAAAAACATCTACACCCCCCTGAACATAAGAGGATCTGCGGTGGAAGTGGTCTCCAGCTACAAGTACTTGGGTGTACACATGAATGACAACCTCAGCTGGAGCAACAACACCACCAGCCTGATCAAGAAAGCTCATCAGAGACTCTACTTCCTCAGACGGCTGAGGCGAGCTGGTCTGGGAAGCTCAGTCCTCACCTCCTTCTACAGGTGTGCAGTGGAGAGCATCCTGTGCTC